AAAAGAACCATCATTCGTCTGCATGTGTTCGCTTTGGATGATCATTGTCTTCCTCGCCATATTCACTGCAGTAATAGTACATTTAACGAAAGTGAAAAATTCGGGTTACCGGAAGTTCACCAATAAGACTTTCGCAATTTGGACTTTCGCCAATGTACCTTCCTGACATTCGCCAATTGGCGAGTGTCCATTGATCTTTCGCCAATTTACTGTCCTCACTTTAGCCAATTGGCGGATTCACACTGGGCTTGTGCCGGCAAATCCTTCAGATATTAGGCGACTGAAAAATGATATTGGTACTGATCTGCGGGATCAGTAAAAAATACACGCTAAGAAAATTGTGGGTGTGGGACTCTTATTTCAACAGAGATCCACACCCCACCTACATCCCATATCCACACCGACACCCACCCTCTTACTTTTTTTCTGTTAGCAGCAGATGCAATAAAAATCATGTAAAACGTGTGTTTGAATGTTAACAGGAAAAAAAAACATTCTACGCAATAGAAAGTCTATATAAAAAAAAGGAAGCTGAAACGATATAAATAACTATAGGGATTCATCTTTCACTTCGAACAACATTCATTTATTCGTCATTTCAGTTCTGTGATAAACGCTAATTATAAAACCATGGCTGAAAATAACTCGAAACAAATACCCATTTTATCCAAAGTTGCAAGCACTCAACAGAGACGATTAATAGTCCAAAACTATTGCCTAATCTGGTTAGATTCCAATATTGATGAATACAGTAATGATTATCAAAATACTTTGGAACAGCTTCGAAGCATTGTTAGTGACATTAATATCTTCACTGATGTTGATCAATGTGTCGATTTTCTTACTGATATCGATAACGATAAAGTATTCATGATTGTTTCAGAAATATTGATTGAATATATAGTACCAAGTATCCATGAAATACTTTCATTGGATGCTATTTATATCTTTGGTGTCAAAAAAGCCATAAATGAAGAATGGATCAAACAATGGCCAAAAATCAAGAGTGTGCACACACAAATTACATCTGTCTGTGAAGCTTTACAGCAAACTGCAAAACAATGTGATCAAAATTTAGTTCCAATCAGCTTTATTCCAATTAGTCATGGAACGATTAATCAGAATTTAGATCAATTAGAACCATCATTTATGTATACACAAATCTTTAAAGAAATTTTATTCGAAATGAATTATAATCAGCAATCAATTAATGATTTCACTACTTACTGTCGCAATGGTGACTATGGATCCTTGAGTAATATTAATAGATTCGAGAACGAATATCGATCAACTTCTGCGATTTTGTGGTATGCCTATCCAGCATTTATTTTTTCCATGCTAAATCGAGCACTTCGTCTTATGGAAGCTGATAGAATCATTAAGATGGGCTTCTTTATTCGTGATCTTCATTATCAAATTCAAGGACTCCATCACCTCGATCCCATAAACATAATGGAGAACCATTAACCGTTTATCGTGGGCAAGGTTTGTCCATAATAGACGTCAACAAATTAATGAATACAAAATGTGGACTAATATCATTCAACTGTTTTCTATCTACAAGTGAGAATCGTGAAGTCGCAGACGAATTTGCTGATATTGCTCTACCGGATCCCAATTTAATTGGCATTATCTTCAAAATGACTATTCATCCATCTGTTTCGTCAACTCCTTTCGCCGCTATTAACGAGGTTAGTTATTTCAAAACAGAACAAGAAGTTCTTTTTTCAATGCACACCATTTTTCGAATTGTTGATACCATTAGTATAGACAATAATAATCGACTTTATCAAGTAGAATTAAGACTAACTGCTGATGAAGATCAAGAACTCCGAACACTTGGAGAATACATACGAAACGAAACTAGTGCATCAACAGGATGGGAACGACTTAGTAAATTGTTAGTTGGTATAGGTCAGTATGAAAAAGCCGAAGAGTTTTTTAAAGTATTACTCGAACAAACATCTGATGAACAAAAGAAGGGACTACTCTACAATCAGCTTGGATTTATAAGAGAACATCAACGTGATTATGAAAAGGCAATTTTCTATTATGATAAATCACTAGAAATTGAACGAAAAACTCATCCTCCAAATTATTCTGGATTAGTCACTTGCTACAACAATATTGGTGAAGTGTATTGAAATCTGAGGGAGTATTCGAAAGCACTTTCATTCTACGAAAAAGCAATTTCAATACAGGAAAGCACTGTTTCTTTATTTCCTCCTTCATTGCCTGCTAGTCCCTATAACAACATCGGCTTGTTAAATAAAGAAATGGCACAGTATTCCAAAGCACTTTTGTATATGAAAAAAGCACTGGAAATTCGACAAAAAACTTTACCTTCAAATCATCCGGACTTGGCTGTTTCCTATGGCAACATAGGTTTGATATATGACAACATGTCAGAGTATTCTACAGCACTTTCGTTCTATGAAAAATCGCTAGAAATCCATCAAAAATCGCTTCCGTCGAACCATCCTTCATTCATTTTCTGCTATAACAACATCGCTAGAATGGCTGAAAAGATGGGAGAGCATTCAAAAGCACTCACATTCTATGAACAAGCAATCCAAATCTGTAAAGAAACTCTTCCCCCATATCATCGCTCATTGTCTGTTTGCTACAGTAACATAGCCGTGGTATATGAACAACTGGGTGACTACTCCAAAGCACTTTCGTTCTATCAGAAAGCACTTGAAATTTTGGAGAAAACTCTTCCTCTGGATAATCCTGACTTGACTTGTATGTACACTAACATCGCTGGATTATATAACGACATGGGGGACACTTCTAAAGCACTTACATTTTATAATAAAGCATTTGAAATCTATCAAAGAACTCTTTCTCCAGATCATCCATTGTTAGCTACTCTCTACAATAACATCGGTAGAATGTATCAAGACGTGGAAGATAACTGGAAAGCACTTTCGTTTTATGACAAAGCACTTCATATCAGACAAAAAACACTTCCTTCACATCATCTTGATTTTGCGCAATCCTACAACAACATTGCTAGTGTGCGTTACAATACAGGCAATTACTCAAAAGCACTCTCATATCTTGAATGCACTCTAGATATCAGCCAACGTTTATTGCCTGCAAATCATCCTCATCTTCAGTACGTGCGAAAAGGTATTGAAATGGTAAAAGAGAAATTGTAAATAAAAATAAATGATGAATAAAAAAGAATATTAGTGTTCTCGCTTCACACAAAGAATTACAGTCGTCATCTTGCATGTATACAGGCTAAGAAATATCAAAAAATGTATTAAAAAAATGAATTTTTTTCTATGATGAAAATATTTATTGTATAAAAGAAAATAAAACAAATTATATTTAATCTAATTGAATGAATACTACTTAGAGTGCAAAGTGACAGGTAATCGACATTCTATGCTGACACATTCATCATTAGGGTGTGGATGTTGCTCTTCTCTTCAATAACACCCACACCCTATTTGACAGCACTTTCAGTTTTCTTAAGATGGAACTGTATAATCAATGAGTAAATGTTAATCCACACAAGTAACGCTCGTCGCCGCAACTCGCTTAACCCTCGACTGAATATAGTCTACTCATTATCCATCGTTTCCTCATCGAATTCTATATTGATAATTATCGTCGAACAAACACACGTATTCTAAAATCCATACGCTATTCAAAGAGTTGGTCTTTTTTACAAGAGGATCGTCTATAAGAATAATGTATAAGTTTTTTGTATACGTGTATTCGTTAAGTGATAGTTCTGAATATATAATTTCATGAGAAGCGATAGATAAGGAGTAGACTATATTCAGTCGAGGGTTAAGCGAGTCGCAGCGACGAGCGTTACTTGTTGCTTTAACCAAACTTATTCTATGTTTAGTGAAAAGAAAAAATAGTTCCAACAAACATCAAATCACATGAGAGAAATATATAGAATGATTATTTCTATCATACTCAAGCTGACGTTATACAGAGATTTTCTCCAAATAAAACCATTTTAGTTTTTCTATAATTTTTACCATCTACAAACTAATAGGATGATCACTATTTTATTATACTTCCACCGTCATATCTAGCATCGTTTTGATCATCATTTTGACACTTTTCATTGTCACTTTATAGTTGGGTTTGGCTACAGCTGTGGAAGACGACTTACTGTAAACACGATCAATTTTCAGCTGAAAACTGACGTGCGTTTATCAGGAGTTTTTAGAGAAATTTCATACTGTTCTTCCAATACAAAGCCATAAGACTAGCCAAAATTTAAGGTACCTCTCATCTGATTCGTTGATTTTGGGGCCTCGATTTCTGATTCGTCAGTTTTATTACCCTTGATATCTGACAAGTAGCGGTCATCCCATGGATTCGCTTACCCTTTTCTGACAGAAAATACCCTATGATTATCATGAAAAATAATTTTGATTTTGATTATATGTTAAGAAAGGGACTCTGGGCAGCATGCACTCATCAGAAAATGTAAATCGAACATGGTTCATTTTTAATTTAAGGAATAAACGATCAGTCCCAGCCGCATGTCTCATTTTTTTTGAAAAACTGACCCAATTCAAACAGTTTAAGCGAGTTGTAATGCTGCATATTCAAGAATTCTTACACTTTAAAATAATCTGGGCAAAGCAACCTTAATATTCCGGAATAATCAGAAAAATTAATGCTATCAAAAATTTTGATAGTCTATCCAAAGTGTACACCCTAAGATGGTTCACTAGACATTCACTCTATAAACAGTGTACCATCTTCAAAAATAGACCTTAACCCTTCCCCCCCCCCCCACCTTGGTCACTGGAATGACCATTTGTAGAACGATTGCAGAAAATAAAGAAAGCATGGGATTCAAAAACTCTAAGAGTACTTTTTGTAGTAAACTTCATGGGCTATCGACTAGTAAAAAAAATATTTTTTTCACTGCGCTAGTTTCGAGATATACGACTTGTAAAATCGATGATTCCGAAAAAATGTAAAAAAATGAATTTTTTTTTAAAATCCTTTTTCTACCTCTAAGCAATATATATCTCGGCAGCGTGCTGTGTGATTTACATCGAGCAAAGTGTCCACCAGTGGATTATATAAGTTTCAAAACTTTGAAAAGAATTCGTTAGGTAAGATATGTTAAAGCACAAAGTGGTCACTGGAGGATTTCAGAAAATCAACACCTTAGCTTCTCGACGTCTATAATCCGATAATAAAGTTTTGTTTAAACCATGCAATACTATAGAGCGAACAATTCTCTACAAAATAAGACGTCCCCAAGCTCTCCACGATGTTTTTTGACCGAACTACATCAGTATTACGAAAAGCCCCCGAGATTTTTTTCAAGTCAATCCCGCTACCCCCCTCAGCAAACTACCGTAAAACTCAAGTCTGTGTTTGATCGATCTGTCCATACTTTTAGCATATTGGAGGCACCAGTACTCTATTCCAATCGTTGTTTCATCAGTAGCTCTTCTGGAACCGCTATAGGGGATAAAGGGTTAAATTCGAATTCCTTGTTCTCGATTAAGTCTAACCAAGTTTATTACAGATATCGGACCATATTTAGTTGTTTGGAATGTCGTATTTTCTAATCCTGAACTCAAACTTATTTGAACACAACCGACAGACAAATATTCATGACTCTAAGCACGCTATTTATCGCTACACAATCATTTCTTTCAGAAAATGGAATTAGATGTCGTTCAAATGTTTCACCTTCTTCAACAAGTTTAATAGCGCAACCAGACTGGGATATGGTTGCCATAACCTTGAACCACGATTATTTGAAAAAAAATATTCTTTTAAAATGATACAATCACGGACAGCTACGAAGAATTTTTAGGGTCGCGCAACTGTATATCTATTCCTGCTCACGCTACAACATAGGCTTATTTGCCCCTCCCCCCCTTAAATCCTATTGGTTGTAATCGCAATGTCAAAAAACCTTATTGGTCGGAATCGCGACCAAAAATATCCTTACTGGGTCAAACTACAGGCTAAATAAATCTAATTGGCTGATTTCACCCCCCTCACCCCTTAAATCCTATTGGTTGAAATCGCAATGTCAAAAAACCTTATTGGTCGAAATCGCGACCAAAAATACCCTTACTGGGTCAAACTACAGGCTAAATAAATCTGATTGGCTGATTTCGTCCCCCCCCTTAAATCCTGTTAGTTGAAACCGCAATGGCAAAAACCTTATTGGTCGAAATCGCGACCAAAAATACCCTTACTGGGTCAAACTACAGGCTAAATAAATCTGATTGGCTGATTTCGCTCCCCCCCCCCTTAAATCCTATTGGTTGAAACCG